TCTACATAGTTTCATTAGCATATTATTATATTATGTTAAATTAGAATATCTTTATTCATCATTTGTTTTGAAATGCCTGTTCAAAACGGAGAAAAAACATGTCATTCACATTCTTAGCATTCATATTCACGTAGAAGAAACTATAAGGTGCGTCATTCACTGCTTGATGATACATATCTAATAGTTGCTGTTTGTCAACAATGGCGCTATTTTCTTCAATAAAACTCATTAATTCACTGGCATTTTTCAACCTAAAAATATATAATGAACTGGCATTTAAACGAATGATAGGCGCCAAAACATTGTATTTTTGTGTTGAACAAATTACGCTTACTGCATCGTGCCTACCTCTTGTAAATAATCCATGTAATAATTTGCTATATCTAACAAATTTAGGATCGTCGGCATGATCGTCTATAACGATTAATATTGAATGTAGTTTCTTTATCTTTTTAGATTTCATATAATTAATTATTTTCTTCTGTCTGTCAATTACATTTTCTAAATCACTTGGATTATAATTATCAAAATATATTTGTTCTTTTTCATCATCTACATGTAGTTCATCCCTAATATATTTCTTTACTTCTGTAAAAGTTGGGTCATTATGAACGCTGGGTGAAAATATAAATATTCTTGCAAATGAATTTCTATAAACATTTAAAATAAGATTCTGAACTAAAACTGTTTTGCCTCCCGTCGAACTCGCAACTATAATACTTCTAAATGGTAATTTTGGCACGTGTTCATATTTAGATTGTTTGAATTCATATTCAGTTATGTTTATTGGCTTTATTATTGGAACATCTGACATAATAAAATAATATTAAAGCTATTTAGAAAATATTTTATATTGATTATTTTATATGAATAGAAGCTATTCAGATTATATCAATATAATAGATGAAGTAGAGAATATAGAACAAGTTGTTATAACTGATAACAGATTTAAAAAAATATGTTATTTTGTTTTAGAATTAATTAAGTTTGTGATACAATATATCAAAAATAAAAATGTAAATATTAATATAAATGGGAAGAAAGAAAAAGAATAAGACTGAACCAGTTGTTTCTTCAACTGATGAAGAAAAAGAAGAAGTTGTTAAAGAAACATCAGTTATTGAGTTTGCTTGTCCGATGTGTAAAAAGATGTTAGAAATGAAGAATGAATTAGAAATACAAAAGAAAGGAAATTGTAAATGCTCGTGTATTCCGACACGTTTCAAACTAAGTAAGAATGATAAGAAAATGAATATTGATAAAACTAAAGACAGTATCAACTTAGAAACAGATGTTCATAATATTGCTATACGCTTTGGGAGGGGAGTTACTCCATCCGATAATGGCGATAAGGAAACACAGGAAACGATACGCGAAATGATGAAAAAATAATAATTAAAATTATTTCTATTATTTATAATGCAAGATGTTATAAATAATATTCTTAAATTCATTGATGTAAAAGAATTGAAATTAAATAATTTTATTGAAGAATATAACGAAAATGATATATTAATTAATTTTGTTAATGACTTTAGAAATAGTAAAATTGATTTTAACATGTTTTATAATTCTATTAATTATGCTGATTTATTTGAACAATCAGATTTAAAATTTTATTGTAAAAGAATATATTCATATACTTTAAGATTTATTGCTAATTATGATAATAAAAATGCTATTCAGTTTTATGAAATTACATTGAGAAAAATGAATAATATTTACAAAAATAGTAACATTAATGTTGTTAATGTGTTTGAATGTATTAAATGTTTAATAATTTATATTACAGATAATATTGAAAAGTTTCATAAATATTCAAAATTTAGAAAAACTATTATTTGTAATTTAATTGGTAAGTTGAATAATAATTTAACGAGTTACACAATAACTAATTTTGAATTGACTTATAATGATATATGATTTTGTAAAATAAAAGTTTAGTTTTAAAAGTTTTATTTTATAATATAATATACATATTTACATGGATGAAGGATTAGAAAATATTGTTAAAAAACTGAACAAGGTTTTAGAACAGAATAAGAATATTTTAGAAATCTTGCAAGAAATGGAAAAGAAGAAACCTTTAACAAACAGTTATCAAAGTAAAGAAGTACATGGAACCAATGGTGAATATAAAAATAAAAGAAATATTTATTTAAACAAACTTAATAACAAAGAAATTAAAGAACCGAAGGCTTCAACTATGACATTTTATCAAATTGACTATGATGAAGATACGGGGGTTTATTCATAGATAATAATCCAACGACAAAACAGCATGTTTTTCTTGAAATTAGGTGGGGTTCCCCCTTTTTTGGGGCGACAGTTTATTTATATTATGTTATTATAATATAAATTAACATTGTAAAACTTTATAACCTTTCATTATACCATAGTTATACTCTATAAAATTTGTTTTTGTGTTTCTTTTTTAATGAATGAACATAATCTTGCCCATAATATTTCTACAAAATTTATGATAAAATATTGTAAGATAATTTATCATAATTTTTGGAATAATATTTTTGAAAATTTATTTTTTGCGAATTTACTTTTTGACAAATTACTTTTTTTTGAACATATTATTTTTTGATTTTTTTTTTTTTTTTTTTTAAAAGTTAGTTTTTGAAGATATTATTTTTTTTGAGAAATATTATTTTTTTGAACAATATTATTTTTGATTTTTTTTTTTTTTTTTATTTTTTTTATGAATGAGCTTAACCTTGCCCATGCATCCTACCATCAATAACCATATCATATGAACCACCCTATACTCCTATTTCCACTCAAGCATCCTAACAATGACAAGAATGATGGAATAGAAAATGAGAAAATGTGACTTTTTTGATGGATTTTGAGGTTGAGACTGTTATGAAATGTTTTGAGTGGAAATATGCATAATGAATAAGGATGACGATTTGACTAGTGAAAAAATGGTTGAAAAATGCTGTTCTTGCGTAGGGGGGGGGCTACGCTAGGATACCATAAAAAGATGGGCAAGGCCCACCCTAACTCTTTGACCCACAAGGCCCAGGCAATCTCCACCCCCTCCTGGCGATAAACATTCAGCCAGTAGGGTCTCTCGCAAGAATATGCCTCGTTCATCGGAGCGAGCAAACGAGGGCCAAGGACAGGTGATGCGCATTTGCAATACTCTTGCGCCGGATCGCATCCTCAATGCAGCAGTGGTGCTGACGCACGTTCGCCCTGTGGGATGTCGAGAGGATGCTCCAAAGCAAGATGCTTCGGAGCCACTGCGATCCGCGAGCTTCATGAGGGAGGTCTTGGCATAGGACGCGGCTAGCCTCTCGGTGGTGACAGGTCATTCCATGGTTCTGAATGCGGCCCATTCCCAGACCTGCCGGGGCGGCCTTTTTGCTTGTAGTTGGTGTTCAAGGAAAATCCCCTCCAAAATCTTTCAAGCTCATTGACGAGACGGACACCCTTTTGGATGGTTGCTTCGCTTGATATCGGTCGTACCTGTTCACCGGCCGTACCTGTTTGTTCCATTCCAACCTCCACAAATCGAGGCCCTTTGGAAGTCAACCTTGAAAACCTTGTCTTCCAACTATGATCCTTGTCTTGTTGCCCAAAACATGAAACAAAATATCGCTAGCATGTCTCAAGGTGCTCAGGATTCTATGCATCCGGACGCTTCGCAAGTTCTGATTTAGCTTTCTTGGGAACACCCATATGCTTCATCCCGTTGATCCCAAGGCCCCTAGACCCTCGACCTTGGTCTTGCAGCTGGGTTGACTAGCCACAAACGCTGTCGGAAACTCGCCGAAAAGGTTGACATGGAGCTAGGACGGCCTCGAGATCAGGAAACCTGTGCTGAGGGACCTGTGTGTTGCAATCTATAGCGAAGCTGTTCGAATCAGCAGGGGAGTGTGTAGTCCTTAAACGAAAACAGCGAGCCGCACAAACACATTGAAGCCAAACTGGTGAAGACCATTGCCAGGAAAGTGCACACCACACCGCAAACACACACCCACATGGGAAAGACGAACATGGCCCAAATCTGGGATCGGCTTGTTTCTGGGATGGAAGGAGCAGCTTGACCAAGAACTCGGGAAGCAAACTAATCATAGTTCCTCACCGACTTGGACGTGCAAGAGAGATCCTTAGATTTCCCGCCACATTGCAGCACATTGCAACATCTAACTTGGAAAGCTCTGTGGTCATTACACTTCCGGAAAGGGACATCGCCTCGACTACCTCTTCTGAAATTCATACTAGTCAATCAGAACTAACGTGAAACGAAACAACACACCCAAAGCCAAACGTGGCTTTGAAAAACGCAAGCCCCACGACGACCCTTTCTGAAGCCAAACGAGAAATCGCAAGGGCAGCCGCTCGTACTGGTGTATGCTTGTCCTGCTTCCAAGTTCAAACAACTTGTCCCCAAACTGTGAAACACTACCCAAGCGAACATGAAGTGTGAAACTATTGTGAAACCTTCAGACAAGGAATACGTGATAGTACATGCGTACGTATATAGCCCCCCAACAAGCAGGACACCTTCATCATGGGGTGCAAGTTGCAAACTAAGACCCTCCAATCGTAGAAATTTGTCGAGACATCTCATCTTCCCTGGAGGTTGTGGTTGAAAGTAGAGAAACTTGAAAACCTCTTAGACACCTATCCGGCTAGGACAAACTGTTCAGGGGAGAGGCGAAAAGTATCCGTAGTCAGAAGTCTGCGCAAATTGCTTTGTTTCACTTTGCAGGAAAAGCCCTCTCCAAAACAAAAAAGGTGAACAAAGGCTACCACTGGCGGTCTGGAAGTTCGTTTGGTGGCTCCTGATCAACCAAACCACTCGAACTTGGCACTTCTTCTGGACTTGTGTCACCTTGAGGGGGGGGGGGGGCGGTGGAGAATTAATCCCCTCCAAGTCCTGGCCGAAGAGCTGTCTTTGGGAGGCGCCGGCTTCACGAAATTTCTTCGTTAAGGGCACAGCTCTCAACCGGGGTGCGCAATCCCTTTGAGCACCGTGCACGGAAGCCACCAGGCGGTATCGCACGCCTGAACACGCAAGGTGCAAAAAACGCACAAACAACTGAAATGAGTCGGATGGCCAAAACTCAAACTCCAAAGAAACGTCATGAAACGTCCAACAACTCGTCTAATTAAGATGACCAGCGCCCTCAGGCGCTGGACAAGGGCATTGGCTTCCTTTCTTTCTCTCGCTTCGGCAGACGCTTGCTGCAAAGGAGAACCATCATGGAACGCCACTTCGCTTCCAGAGTGGATTGGCCGAAACAAGGCCAAACTTTCTGTTTGCCACCAAAACGGTCTTCCTAAACAAGCATCAAGTCAAGGAACTCGGGAAGTGAGGCTGCAATATATTTGTGGGTTCCCCTATTTTGACACACATCCTGCACTGCCAAGAGTCATGAACCCGAAGTCAACATTCAGAGAATATCTGCGCAAATTGATCATGATTACTGTCATTCACCAAATTGGCTTGAGATGGCTTGAGCAATCGACATTCAGGGAACTTCATCTCTTTGAGAGTGGACGCCTTGGCAGCCCGCTCACAAAGGATTGATCCACGATGAGCAACATATGGGACGGAGATGTAAGACAGCAAATGCAAATATCATTCTCCGACCGTCCCAATCCCTGAATCCAGAGTAATAAATTGAATAAAGTTAGGACGAACAAAATACAAAAACAATGTCAATCTTACTAATAGTTCAACTTTGTTAAATACATGCTAACATCTGGAAAAAACACTTGACACATACTCTTAGGATGAAGGATTTATTCTAGAAATCATTATATACAATGACTATATAATATATATATATATACATAATCATTATCACATGTTTTAAACTGTATACTTTATGTTATCTATATACGGTCTTCTTACTACGTTTCTTTTGCATGGTCAATCAATCTCCGATAATTGTTGTGCTCGACCATGGGGGTAGAAGCCCGAAAATACGTGGGAGTTTGGGATTTTGGTGAGCAACCCCAATTACTCTAGTGGCAGTTTGGTGAGTGTTTCCAATGTCGTCTTCTTACTACAGCAGTAAATGACGGGTACATACTTGTTGACCGTTGCTCATGGAGGACCCTTTCAGAAACACTTGTGGGGATTCATGCCCACCAACCGCGTCCTAGGCAGTTTTTTTGTCAAAATTCATAGCCCACACGACTGATCCACCGAAAAGTTGCGTTTAGATGAGAACGACCGCAATTAGGTTGCCATATGGGTTTGCCCCAAATAGGGGCACCACAAAAGTGGTTGGTTTCCTGTTGGTTTCATATCTAAACCAACCAACAACAAATGGATCCTTCAGGTTATGGTTGATTTCCTGTGAAGAGTCCCATTCAAACCAACCAAAATTTGGTACCTTCGAAAACCGACACCCCGCATATGACATGTCAGGGGGCACAGAATCCGGAATGGACACATACCCCCGCCTCCAGCCAACAAAGCTGCCTGCGAGACGAAGTAAACCTCGGTTGAGTTCCAGGGGCCACAGGTCTAAGTCTACGTGGGGAATGGTTGTGTTATCAGGAAGGATTCTTGGGAGTCCCGAATTCCAGGTTGGCAACATGGTCAATGCTTTTGGTTGGTGACCACTGGTAGAGTCAACCAGGGGTACCGGCCAAAAGTGGCTGCGAGCTGATCGGCTTCGGATTTGGGGAATCCAGGCTTGTCACAGACCTCTGAATCTCCGCGTTTCTGCGTCACGGGTGTTTCATTATCTGCATATGTTTGATGTTTGTGCATCCCTGGGTCCCCTACCAAGGGAAGCGCACCTGCACAATGCAAAAGGGAAGATGCTTAAAACCACAAAAACAAGACAATAACTGGAGTTGGAGCCCTGGAAGGGTAGCATATTTGGCTTGCCAGCGAATTCGGCGCAGTCACGCTGATAAAAGTAGTTGCAGCTCAGGTCGCCCAGTCTTTCCACACAGCCTTCTTTTCAGAAGCTGGATCCAGCCAGCGTGGGGTCTCTGGCGTTCTTCTTTTTAGCAGATGACCCGGGTAAATGGCATAGGTCCCCTTAATTTCCTGTAACGTGGAACCCACCAGAGGGTCCATTGTAAAGGAAAGTTGTCTTCCAGGACCCCAAACGTCAGGTTCCATGCTACCGGACACTCACTTCCTGAGTGGATTGGTCACAAAAAGTCCCAAACTGGGGCTTCCCTTTGGTTTCCTTTAACATACTCACTCCCTGCGTAGGCCAAGCCAACACCCAAACTTGTTGTTTACCACCAAAATGAAAGTCTGCCCAACAAGTGACTAAAGTTCAGTGTCTTACCTCAGGAAGTGAGCTAAACCAACAGATCCAGCGCTAAACCCGAAAAAAATCGTTCTGAAAGGAGCCCAAATGATCCCAGTGGCCACTCTAGCAGGTAACCTAGGTCCTCCAGTAGAGAGATTAGAATAAGGGTACCCTTTCTTCAGTAGTCTATTTTAGTAGGGGAACCCTCCCAACCAAAAAAGTTGGTGAGCAAGGGCACCTAGCTGGGGGACCTCTAGTTTAACTTTTAGTGGTTTAATGGGAAACCCTTAGTTGGCAAACAAGTTGTTGCAGTCCCAACATCACCTCTAATTAGTTTAACGTTTCGTGGTTTAATGGAAAACCCTCCTTAGTTGGCAAAAAAAATCGCAGTCCCAACATCCCTTGGCAAATGCGAGCCAAAGGTAGCTACCCGCCCCTTCTCCATCCGCGCCTCAAAGCGGTTGGTGGCCGGGTGCTGGCCGCGGCACAGCACCCCCGGCCTCGGAGCTGAGCGATAGAAAGCCTGGGGCCTAGGCTTGCCGCTTGCCACCCCCTGGCGCCCTTTCACTTGGGCCGTCCGTACAAACAAACAAGAGACTTGCAGATCCCGCTTTTCCTGTCCGGGGTTTCTCTTAAGACAAAAAAGATTTGCAGATCGCGCTTTTCAGATCTACAGAATACCCTTTTGCCTCACGTTTTTTTGGAGGAGATGTCAGAAACCGTTTCTGGTTCCCTTCAGCCACAGCCCATCCAACACCCACCCCCAAATAAAATATTCTTGGAGACCCCCAGTTGAGATGTTCATCACTGGACACATCTCCAACCTCGAGAAGCCAACATTCGATCCATGAAAAGATGGAGATTTCAGAGGTTCCTCGCTTCACAGCTCTGACTTGTTATGCCTCCGGCAGCGGCACGTCCAAAGGGGAGATGGCCAAACCGCTTCCAAAGGCCAGCTGCTGCACCTCGGATCGTCGACGAGCTTCGTGGCTGGGGGGGGGGAGTGGTCCTTGGAAGTTCCACCAACTTAGGGGATTTTGCTATACCCTGCCCCCACCCAGTAACAGTGGATGATGGAAATTTAGATCAACCACCACCAAAATGGTCTTCCGAATTGTGGTGACTGCTAGTGTTTGGGGGCAGGGTCCGAGGATTATGAACATGGCATGTTCAGAATGGAAGATGATGGAATTCCAATCCGATTGTCCGTACTCCCCATTGGGGGTGCCGCTCTACACACAAGTGGACTGGTTCCTTTCGAAAAACAAAGTTTTAATCGAGGATTGCCTTTTACCCTTTGAACAGCCCGGGTTTTAATCGGGGAGTCCATTGGTATCGCAGTTACATGGAAACCCTAAAACGCCAGGTTTCCCCAATCATGAGTCACTCACCCCTTTCCTGATTTACGGATAAGTTTGGATCTGGGAGGGAAGATTTGCAGGTACCTGGCAAGGCTCCACTAACCCAGGAAGTGAGCAGAGGCTTCCAGGGTTTTTCCTGTCGGGCGCCCAAAAGTTTCATCAGAGAGTTGTTGCGCTGGGACTTGCGCAAAACCAAGTGAGTCATGTCAAAAGAAATAGCTGCACTGCCAGCTGTCAACAAATGTGCTAGCCCATTCCCCAATTCAATGGGGCCGTTTTTTAGGGCAATACTCTTGATTGGGCTTCAAAACAGACAAGTTGGCAGACACATTTATTCCCTGCAAAGCAAACAAGATTCCCAGCATTTGTTCACCCGTGGTCTGCTCATCTTTCACCGGCTAACAACCCCAGCCAGGGTCGGTTGGGGCGCGTTTTGCCTACAGGGTGGATTCCCTGTTGAGGTCATGAGAAGACAAGCCCAAAGTCATGGAGGCCTGTCAAGAGATGCCCTGGTTTCTCCGGTGGGCAAAATCAGGGCAGCCTTCCTTTTGTTGGTCAAGCTAAAGTTCAAGGGAATCCCCCGAGGAAAAACAAAATCCACGAAAATCCCCCAGGGCGGTCCAGGACAAAGGGGCGGCCGTTGGAGCCGGCGTTCTTGAAGGCTTGAGCAGACTTCGACTTGAACGTAGCCTTCCTCCTAACATGGCAGCGGCATGGCATCTGGAAGACCAGTTTCCTCTTGGATCCCGTACCAAGGGCCCCAATGGCCCTGCCAATCCCAATAGGCGCAAAGGGGCTCTTGAGGACAAGGGGCCCTCTCTTCCCGCAAAGGGGGATAGCGGCTCAAGCTATTCAACCTTGCCAGGGTTTTGATTGAACAGGGTACCCCATGTGTGGCGGTTTCAAAGGAAAAAACCGAATGGAACCCCGCCATTCGTGAGTTTTCCTACTATTTCTTGGGTGCTGTAGATCCCCCAGGAAAAAGTTTAACTTGTTGCTGTTAAAAGGAAATATGAGGGGAATCCAAGAAGTTAAAGTCTACAGATCCAACCCAATAGCAGTAGAGATTTGAAGACAAACCCAGAGACCGGTGTCTTGAACTTGGCGTCCCGGCTGAGGCAGCGCAGGCTTGGGCGATCCGAAAGTCCGTCGGGGCGCGCACGGACAAGAAGCCCTGGGGGGCGGTGTATTTCATGTGAGGTGGTCAATAGATTTCATGTGAGGTGGTCAATGTATTTCATGTGAGGTGGTCGATGGCTTTGCTTTTTCTTGCGGCTCTCCCCCCCTGTGTGGTTGTGTCTGTGGGAACGCAGACCTGGGAAATGACCAAGATCAACAGCAAGTTTTGTGGGAAATGAGAGCGGGGCAAAAGGCATGGACCCGGATATGGATTTGGACCAATCCCTTATTTTTGGCGCATCTCACCCTGGCAGACCGGTTGTTACGTGGTCACAATCTAAGGGCCCGGGATTTGCGGAGCTAGTCCGCTGAATTGCGGCGATATTTCAGATGGCCTTTGAAAACCACCCAAACCCGAGCAAGCCAGGCCACCAATTTCATGAAGAAGTTCACTCCCCCAAGCGTTTCAACATGGAATTCTGGAATTCTGGACTCCGAAATGGAAGACTTGGTGACCCATTTACAGAGGCCTTGGGAGCTTCCAGAGACTCCTGCTTCGAAGCGCCTGGTTCGTGACCGTCTTGGTTACTTGAAAGAGGATGGTCACCTGGCGAGGCAGAGCCAATCGACCAAACAGTCAGGCAATCAACCAACCAACCAACCAAACAATCAAACAATCAAAGAAACAATCAACGAATCAAACAATCCAATACAAAGAACAAACAAACAACGACTCAAACAATCAAACAATCAATCAATCAATCAATCCATCCATCCATCCATCCATCCATCCATCCATCCATCCATCCATCCATCCTTCAATCAATCGCTCAATCCATCAATCGATCAATCGACCAATCCACCGGTCAATCAAACCAAATTAATCAAATCAGCCAAGTCAATCAAATCAATCAAACAAATCAAACAATCACAACTCAAATTAAGTTATTAAATGTGTCAACTAAATTAATAAAATCAACCAACGCCATCAAACAACATCAGCCAAGTCAATTCATTTCAAACCAAATCAACCAGTCAATCAAACCGATCAATCAATCAATCAATCAATCAATCAATCAATCAATCAATCAATCAATCAATCAATCAATCAATCAATCAATCAATTAATCAAATAAATCGATCAATCAATCAATCAATCAATCAATCAATCCAATCAACTAACCAACCAACCAACCAACCAACCGACCAACCAACCAACCAACCAACCAATCAACCAATCAACCAATCAACCAAGCAACCAAGCAACCAAGCAACCAAGCAACCAAGCAACCAAGCAACCAAGCAATCAACCAACCAACCAACCAACCAATCCATCCATCCATCCAGCCGTCCATCCATCCATCCATCCATCCATCCATCAATAAATCAATCCATGAAATCAAGCATTCAATGATTAATTCCATCATTCAATGCATCATCCAATCATTCAATCAATGTCCATCCATGAATGCATCCATCCATCCATCCATCCATCCATCCATCCATCCATCCATCCATCCATCCATCCATCCATCCATCCATCCATCCATCCATCAATCAATCAATCAATCAGTCAAAATCAATCAAGCGGGCGTGGAGGTCGGAGTAGACAGAGAAAGGTTGTCAGCTTCCCTCCAATTGGTTGCTTGGATTGGTTTGGAGGGCACCAGGGGTTCCAACCCCAAACCAGTCGAATCCCCAAACAAACCAATTCTGTCATGTTAGGGGGCCATGGCGTGCATCATTAAAGTAGGATTGGGGCACAAAAGGCGAATTCTACAGACCTAGTAACTTTCGCCAAACACGGGGGGTGCCTCCAGCTTGGTTTCTTCCTCTGAAACAACCACCCCCAAAACGGGCCCATCAGAAGGGACACACCCGTATCAAGGGGTCACCTATACAGAATATTGGATCCACTGGGCTGAAAAACAACTGAACTCAGCAGATCAGATCAACTTTCAATCAGTATTTTTGCTTGCCTTTTTTGGGAGCGCTTGTGTGCTTCAATGTACACTAGGGTGAAAGTGGATTCCGGATAGCACAAGTCCCCGCACTTGCCCGCAACAAGTGGCCTTCTGTCCATCTACTTCGGCCTTGGCGCCATCCAAACGGCGGCTCCACGTGGACCGCTCCGAAAAAAGCGACGCATGGGGTCGCCTCGTTCTCGGATCGCTGGTCCGCGGTGATCAGACGCAGGCCCACGGCCTGACCGACTGAGGCCGCTGGTCCACACGGTCTTTGTGATTGTTGGAAGGGGCAAAGCAGGTGGTTGTTCTAGGGGAACCTTCCCCATTCTTTCCAGGCGTCCTTCTTTCTACAAAACCACCCAAAACCCTGGGGAAACAGCTGGTTTTTGAAAAGAACGATGGTTGAAAACAGGCTTGAACGATTGGGCGCTGGCCTCAGTTGGGGGAGGGCGGGGGGGTTCTGGACTAAAGATACATGTTTTCTTTGGGGCGGTCGTGACACAGTTGTAATACTGTGGATGGACAAAATCCATTTCGCACCACTTGGAAACCATGGGAAACCATTGTTCATGGGTGTTTACAGGGGATTCATCACGGAGTTTCTTAGGTGGTGCGAAATGGATTTCGTCCATCCACAGTGGGTGTGGGGCAAGATTAGGTACCCGGAAAGGAACCCTGGTAAATGGAAGCTTATGTCATCCCCACTTTGGTAGCCAATGACCAGTAAGCCAAACAACAGAAGTATGGCCGTTGTTCTTTCAACCGTATGGCTGCATATCTGCGGATCCCATCCCAGAATGATCTTGTTGACGATTCCAAATTTATCACCGAAGAAGACACCCCGGCAAGAACGACCGGACGGAATCCAACGGAGACAAGAAAAACAGCCAACCCCCATTCGTTCTCAAAGGCCATGCTCTGTAGGTTTTTGGGCTCCATGTCAATTTGCCAGGGAGTAACAGTCAGCAAAAGTTGGAACATTCTGGTGGCCATGGTCCAAGGTACTAACCCAGCGTAATTGAATCGCACTTGCCATGCTGACTTTACCCACATCTGGGGTACTCAGAAAATGACATCCTCTGATGCTGTTTCATATTTAGCCTACCTTTAAAAAGAGAAATGACATGTCAAAAGGATATTTAGGTCACTTTGCAAGTGCTGTTTGATTCTTGGGGCTGCAATCGCAACCTGAAAATTGTTTCCTGGGACCTTGAAACAATCAGTCTCCCTTTGAACAGGCGCAGCTTCTGAGACAGGCAGGGTTGGGGATGTACCGCAAATGAGCCTGGCACCACTTGGGGTGCGTTCCCCCAAAGGGGATTCTTCTAACCTCCCATGGTTGAAGTCAACCCCTGGGCCCTGTTACAACATATTGGTATACACATACACACGTATATAAATAGATGTACAGAATATGACATTGCTCACAGCAAGTAACCCACGAGCCAGAGGCACAATGACTTGAGCCAACCTCTCTAACCTGTTGTGGCGGAGTGAGTTGACAAACGAATTAGGAGGTCACTGTTGGCTAAACATGAAGCAAAAGGAACGCGGCGTCCCAACAATGTTGGTGGCTTCTGCTTGGCTTGCCCTTGAAACAAGTGGCAGACGCAAAGGCTTGCTAGACAACACAAGAAGACTCATCTGAGTCGTAAAGTCGTGATACTTTGAGGAGTCATCAGGCCTTAGGCCCTGTCACCATCAAGTCCGTCCTAACTGCCCAACTCTTGGAATAAACCAAACATAGTATCTTCGCGCTCGCTCCACCCTCAAATGTATGCAAAATGGGCTAAACAGCTCCAAAGCAAGGGAGGTTCCCTCACAAAAAGACGAAACCACACTCTGTTACGGGGATGCCGTTGTTCCAATCCCAAACCTCTTTCTCGACCTCCGCTTTCTTTCTTGCCTTGGCGTCGAGCACACGCGTGCGAGAAACGCATCACGCCACCCCGTCCGCGCCATGTGGGTGAACTCCCAAAGGCGGTAGCCCATGACGCTGGAGCCCTGGTCAAGGGGAATGCTTCGGTTGCGAAATTTCTGCTCCCCTGCTAAAAGTGACTGACTTTTAGTGGTTAAATACGGAACACCCGTCAGCTGGGCAACAACTTCGAGTCCTAACATCCCTTAATTGGCAAAATGCAACACAGATTCGCTGGAAGTCCCAGTGCTCCAAGCCTCAGGTCGATCACTTTTTCAGGGCCATTTGCCTTCCAAAGGCTTAAAGAGCGACTCGGTCAACCCAATCACCAATCAATGTTTACCCCAGATCTCAACGTAGTGGGCCTACAAGGTGCTAGGTTTCCTTCGGTTCCCTTTAAGTGCTCACCAAACAGGAGAAAGCTCACTATACGGGGCCAAACATCTAGGCACATGGGTATGTGTCGAGGGGATTTGGACTCCCAGCATGGCGTTGGTGTCCTTTTTGGTGTCCCTGAACCTCACAGAAGGTACCTGAATACTACCCGGAAACTCCAACTGCTGACCCAACATATATAGCGAAGAATTGGGGAGCCTGTTGGGATTGACCATCTCTAATAGAGAACCCATCGAACTGAAAAAGGATTGACACAAGAGCCACCGAACAACGGCGCAATCATCTCACACTACTTCGGCTAAATACATACCCCGCACAGTCACCATTCACTTGATTTAGGCGCTTGCAGTAGAAACCACATATATAGATAGGTATATATGTACCAGTCCCTGGGCCACGTACCCCCCCCCCCCCCCCAATGGTATGGTCCCCCCACTCCCCCGCATCATCCGCATCTTGGGGATGATGCTGGCAATGCTGGGGATGCTGTCCAGTACCGTGCGAGCCCTGCAGCTTCGGTCCCAGACCCCCTTTTACCCCGTGAACCAACACCCCCGCACCTCTCGCAACATCCTACCCTAAACCAAACCACCCTGCAACCCCTCCTTAACCCCAACCCTAAGCCTAAATCAACCAAAACCCAAACCCACCCGAAACCCACCGCAAACCAACCCTGAACCAACCCTGAACCAACCCTAAACCAACCCACCAAGCCTAAACCAACTCCGAACCACACCCAACCACCCAACCACCCAACCACCCAACCACCCAACCACCCAACCACCCAACCACCCACCACCCACCACCCCACCACCCCACCACCCCACCACCCCACCACCCCACCACCCACCCCACCGGGGGGGGTTGGCCCAACCACCCAACCACCCAACCACCACCCCACCACCCCACCACCACCCCACCACCCACCCACCCCACCCCCACAGGGGGGGGGGGGGGGGGGGGGGGGGGGGGGGGGGGGGGGGGGGTCCACGGCCTGGAACATATATATATATATATACATGTATGTTGTTCCGTGATTTGTGGACGTATAACACCCCCCCACGAAAAAGACGAGAGTTGCCACCGAACCAAGGCAAGGAATATCGACAGCCCCGGAGCCTCCCGGAACATCCCCAAACCAACACACGGTATCCTCGACGACATCTCCGTATCGCTTTGGTGCCAAACACAGAGAAACAAGATGTTCACCAGCATTAGACCCCTACAGCACTCTGACCTCGAAAGTAAGAACCTCTGCTAATTAGGTCTTCATGCAGGAAAAGGACCTCCTTTTTAGCCTGCTCCTGTGTGCTCAAAACCACACGTTTAGCAGACTGTGGTCAATTTGGGGTTGTCTCTCAATGGGGCGAACCCGCCAACATGCACGGGTTCCTTTTAGTTTCCCTTTTAAACAGCCCCAAAAGGGTACCCTCAAGGAACCGGCAACCCAATTGCGCATTTGGGGCAAGAAAAGGGACACCTTCTAGAAAAAGTGTTCGCCTCAGAGAAAGTGTGGGCAATTCTTGAAAAAGTCAGGCACCGGGAAGAAAAAATTACACCAGCAGAGACCCCAAACAGTTGAGAACTGACGGGCAAGCACAAACATGCCAACAGCTTGTGGCTTTCTGCGCTTCAACACGGATGAAGCAAAACGATGCAGTCGTGAAAGTGGCACGCGTTGCGTTGCTGCACTTGTGTTGCTGGCGTGCTTCGCGTTTCTGCACCGCGCCAGAACTGAGGTTGGGAAAGCGCGTGCGATAGCGGGCGAGCGCGTGCGCGTGAACGCAAGTGTGGCTGCGCAAGCGCGCGGTCACATGGGCAGCTCAGACACACGTGTCTAATTCAGACACACATGTGTGCACACGTGGAACTCACATATGTATACGGCTGAAGCAGCACACGCGGCACGCGCAGATGTGCACCCGTGAATACACACATATACATTCACCTGCGGCACACGCATGAATGTGTTGAGCTGGAAAACTACCATGTGCTTCTTGGAAAGCACACACACATGTGTACACCTGGAACACACATAACGCTAATGTGTTCACATGGAACACACATGTGTGCTCACTTGGAACACCATGAAACGCGTGTGCAATTCAAACACACATGTGCGCACACGTGGAACACACATGTGTTCACCTGGAACGCAAACACATGCAATTAAAGCATACATGTGTGTACACGTGGGACAAACATATGTGTACCGTTGGAACACAAATGTGTGTCCAGGAACACCGCCTGCGCGATTCAAGCACACATGTGTGCACACGTGGAACACACATATGTGCACGCGTGAGCAAACATAAACGCTCACCTAAAGCGCACACACATGCGAGCACCTCGAAAACAATCATGTGTTTGCTGGAGCACATACATGTGCACACCTGGAGAGCAAATATATCGTCAGATGCAAAAAGTGTTCACCTAGAACATGCTAATGCGCGTGAACACACATGTGTTCACCTGGACCACAAACACGTGTTCAATTGAAACAGACATGTGCGTAGACGCGGCACACACATACGTGTACACGTGCACACACATATGCGCACGCGTGAACACTCACATATATGTGCACCCGGAACGCACACCCGTGCGCTCATCTCACAAACACGTGTCCAAGTGGAACAAAAATGTGTGTACACGTGAAGAAACACGTATGTGTACACGTGGAACACACATTGGCGCACACGTGAACACACAAACACGTGTCCAATTCCAACACACAGGTGTGTACGCGTGGCCACACACACGTGTACACGCGGGAGGCACAAATGCGCACACGTGAACACACAGATTTGCACACGTGGACCACACACATGTGCACAGCACACGTGAACACACACGTTTATGCGCAAGCGGAAAGCACAAACACACACGAGTGTTCATCTGAGAACAAACACGTGTTCTCCTGGAACACAAACACGTGTCTAAGGGGAACACAGAAGTGTGTATACGTAAATATACGTTTGTGTAAACGTTGAATACATACATGTGTACACGTGAACACACACATTTTTGTGCACCCGGAACACACACACACACACACGTGCGTTCATCTGAAAACAAACATGTATTCACCTGCAACACACATGTGTGCACACGTGAACACACAAATGTGTACACGTGGGTCACACATATGTGTACACATGAATAGACACACACGTGCACGCGGAGCAGACACACACACACACGTGTTCACCTGATAACAAGCATGTGTTCTCCTGGAACACAACCACGTGTCCAGTTGGAACGCACATGTGTGCACACGTGAACACACAAATGTTTTGTTTACACGTGGAACACACATATGTGTACACGTGAACACACATACATATGCGCCCGGAGCAGACACACACACACACACATGTTCAGCTGATAACAAACATGTGTTCTCCTAGAACACATACACGTGTCCAATTGGAACACACATGTGTGCACAAGTGAATACACGTATGTGTACACGATTCGTGTACACCTGAACACATATGTGTACACGTGGAACACACATGTGTGTACACGCAAACACACACATTTATGCGCACCCGGAACACGCACACACAAACAGACACACGCACGCTCATCTGATAACAAACATGTGTTCCTGGAACACAAACACACACACACACGCATACACCTGGAACACATGTGTGTGTGTGTGTCTGGAAAGCACATTTCTGTCACCTGCAACACACATTTGCGTTCACCTGCAACCCACACATGTGCTCGCTTAAAAAAGGCGTTTGCGTTCACGTGCAACACTGGTGCAGACCTGGATCGCACAACATGTTTAACCAGAACAAACTTCTCTGTTGACTTGTAACACACATATGTGTACACATGGACACACGTATGTGCACATGTCGAGAAACATGTGCAACACAAATGTGCAACACACCTGGACAGCAAAAATGTGGTCACATGGAATCTACATTTTCTGCACGCCTGGGCGACACAAGTTCCCGAAGCCGGCTGTGAGGCGCTATTCCATGAAACTCTGCCTTGAACAACGCTTGTGTTTTGTATGCATGTTCCAAGTAGGAAAATAGTGTTCGTGCGCGATCAACCTAGCTTTTTTGCAACACGTTGTGGCACGCGGGCCTGCTGCTGCTGCTGCTGCTACTGCCAGTACTATCAGTATCGGATGCATCTACAGGTTTCAGATTAGCAAAAGCTTTCCGGCGCATTGCGCTTCTTTCTCGCTTACCTGCACAGTCTCTTTCATATCGAACAATCTGTTGCTCGATAGAACGCTCTAAAGTGCCTTTATCGTATTGTGGCAACTCTTCGTATCGATTCAGTAAAGCATTTGCCTTCGCAGGGAAATACGCAACCCAATTCTTCCGCACACTCGGTACAAGGCATTTTTGTCTCGCCTTAGCCGCTTTTTCATTCCATGGTAACTTCATGCGAGGAGAGCCGAAGCAAGTTTGAATTGAGGCGAAACTGGCAATCACAGCTGACCACTGCGCTAGCGCCTTGTTAGCGCCCGGCTAGCGCGGGCTTGCAGTTTTTGTTGGAGTCGCGGCGACCATCTGTGCGCATTTGACACATTCAGGCCACGTAAGATGAAGGCAATCGTGCGGGCTGGCTTCAAGTACTACGTAAGAACTGCGACATGACACCCTACACAAAGCCCATCGCGGCAACCCACGCGCCAACTCTTGGAAACCAAGATCACCGAAGACCCTAGCGCAAACCAAGCGCCAGCCTAGCGCCTCCAGTGGGGAGCGGGCAATCCATTGGTATTTGCAGGACTCCACTTTGTGTGAATGAAAAACAGCACAACATGACTGCGACGGTGGCCTCTGTAGACTAAGCTCCCTTACTAAGAATTTTGACCGGATCGCACATGTGTTTTATCACAACAATCGCATGCTTTCACCTGGAACACAAACATGTGCTCACGTGGAACACACACATGTGGTCACATGCAAAAAATGCGTGTTCACTTGGAACGCGCCGATGTGGTCAACCGGAACCACCAAGAACACACAATCATTCACTTGAAGCACTCAAATGAACCCGTCCGCCCGGAGAGCCGTGCCAGACATCCAAGCTGGGAGACAATGGGAGACAAACGAATCCGTCCCCCCAGAGAGCTGTGACAGGTCCAGGCTGAGAGACAACGGGGCCAAATCAAGGGAGACAAAGGGCGCGCCAGACATCCAGGCTGGGACACGGGAGACAAATGAAGGGATACAAAGGGAGACAAATGAACCCGTCCACCAAGAGAGCCGTGCCACGCATCCAGGCTACGGCTTGGCAATAGGCGAGTCACTTTAAATGAATTTAGAACCCCTCACAGTAAACTGTTTGGGGAAAAACTAATGATTTCTTCAACAGGCGGGCGCTTGCCACCTGGGCTGCCCATCCTTCGATCCCACCATTTTCTTTCGGCTGGAAGAAACCCCAAGCACTTGTTGTTCCAGACTGTTGGACCTTCCATGTCTCTGAACAGTGCCAACACTCGGGGGGGTCAGGTTGCCTTGGCTTTCGGCTTGCCCTGGTGACGACATCCTCGCCAGCGCTGCTCGCGCCAGCTGTTCCGTCATGTCGGTGGCTGACTGCTACTGGGCCGTCAGAGTGGCTGTCTGCTTCCCAGAACCTTTCGATCTTCCTTTGGACTGGCCCTTGGAAGAGCGTTGCGGCCCTCTGTTGCCTCTCTAGCCTGCGTAGCTGTTCCACGGCGTACTCAAGCACCGTCTCGTCAGAAGCTAGGTCGTTTGCAAACGGTAAAAGCGCAGGGAGAAACCGCGGCAGCAGTTCCTCGAAGAACTTTCTCATGCACTGATTCCTGATAAAGCGTGATACTTGCCAGTGACAACCTACTGCGAAGAGCTTTAAAAGTAACAGGCTAAAGGCTTTGATCTGGGAATTCCAAACCCCTCACAAAAAGCTTGACAGCAAGGAAAACCCGAAACAGTCATATTAAACAGGACCAGGGGCTCCCGTGGCCCCCACTTGTGCGACTGTTTGGGCTTGTATTTTTATCCAAGGCTGATGCTTCAATATGGTACTTGTGTGTTATGATGTGTTATGTGTTGCAGGATTTTATCGGGATAAAGCACGCATCTATATGATTGAAGACCCCTAAAGCAATGGTGGGATCCTGAATTAGGAAACCAACTTTGTACAATACACGCCCTACTTGCAAAAGCAGGTCCATTCCCGGAAGCTCATACGCAAAGCCGGCGCGATGAGCGCATGCGCACGTTGAAGCCTTTCCGGCAGTGAGGCAAAGGACAAATCCACAAGCCAACCAAAAACCCTCGCAAAAAAAAGCTCCTTGGCGCCAAGAAACAAACAAAAACACCAAACAAACAGAGATAAAGCTCCAAGGCTACACTTCTGCCTGAGGTCTTCCTCTCTCTGTCGGATGTCCGACGTCGTACCTCGTCTGCCACGGTGAGATACCACTGGTTCAGCACCTCCAGCGCTCGGCCAGGTTCGAAAGGGCGATTGCTCAGATGCCCAGTGGATTTCCATGGGAAACAAATCGGCATCTTGCTTAGGTCAGGTTAGAATGAGGGTACCAACCTTTTACTAGTCTATTTTAGTAGGGGAACCCTCCCCCGCAAAAAAAGGGTGAGAAAGGGCACTACTGAGTGGGGGACCTAGTTTAGTTTAAAGGGGGAGCCCTTCCCGAAAACAAAAGTTGAATGCACTGGGGAACTGGGTTGGGAAAACAGCCGGCGGCTTGCCTCTCTCCCGGCTCCGTTGGGGTCGCCTTCCTTTAGTCTCCCGGCGTGCGAGCTTCTTTCACGACTCTTAGCAGAAAGGCGCCAGAATTGAGACATATGTTCCGCCGTCTTCCCAATGCCTGTCTTCCTTGGTCCATGGTTCAATTTATCCAATATCGTTACTTTCTTAGTAAACACAGTCTCCTTGATAGAAGGGCGCTCGCTTTCAGTTGTTGTCGGCTTGAAACACCTTGAAGGAAAATGCGGTGTCACCTGGCCTTGCTATTTGAATAGGCTTTGTGTGTGTGTGTGCGCGTAGGGGCAAAGTATGAACATGCCTCCATGCCCGGCAACGCACGGCAAACACCAGCCTCATGTTTGCTTTGCACTGAGCTGAGCCCGTTGGGCGATGGGCGAAACGAAGCTGCTGCCCTATGAAAAAGACCGACCAGCCACGGCAAGCGACATTACAATTCAGAGGCAGCCCTGAGAGATGCGGAAGGAGGGCAAGCTGCTGTCAATTCGAGCATGGAGCAAGACTTGCTGGTGCTCAGTAGGGAATGTGGGAATGAACCTGGGGATCCCCTTAAAGGAAACCACAAGGGAGGGTTTATAGGGGTCGTTCCATTTCTCATTCCCTGCCCGTCGCAGCAAGAAGAGTCCAGAAAAGCTCCCGTGCCCGAATATAATATAGGGTGCCGAAACAGACTGCCCAATGGGCGTCCAGGCCGGGGTCTGCTGCGGCTGCGAGTCCACACGCAACAAGAAGGCCTCGGCCAGCCAAAAACGTGTCGAGGAGATCACTTGCTGGTTCCCAGAAGGTAGGGAATGAAGGGGGTTTTGGGAACGAACCCAGGAACCACCTTAGAGTTTAAAGGAAACCACATCAAGGGATGGTTCATAAGCCAGTTTATAATTTTGCCCTGGAAACCGGCAAGATATGGGCGTGTCTCGAACAGGGTTCCCCTTTTTGCACAGTATTTGGGGGGAAGACAAAGAAAGGAATCCAACCACCTGCAGCAATTGGTCCCCAATTTGGAGAAAACCCCCGTGCTGTTTTTGATGGAGGGGGGAAGCGCTTTGAATTCCACCAAAAGGCAAGCCGGCGAGCCGATTCTGTCTACAAATCCACAAAGAAGGGGTGGTCCAGGGCTTGCGCCAAATGTGGCGCTATAAATAACTAGCAAAAGTATACTGAGCAAAACTAAATTTAGCTTTGAAGCAAACAATCCGAAGCCACCGAAACAAAACACATGCCACTGTTCGAGGGCTCCAGGAGTCCCTTGGTTGTTGAAGTTAGCTTCTGTGTAATTCCTATGTCCCTCCCACATGAACTACCGAGTAAGTACTGTGGAGTTTCATTGTTTCAGTGAAGATCTTCCTGTGGCTACTTCCCCCCCCCCCAAAAAAAAAGACGCCGGAATAAAACAACTTCATGTTCACTTGGCCCACTTTAGGACGAAAAAAGGGAAAACACTCTGCTCCATATTCTGCCTACCCTAGAATGACAAATAGTCGAGCGAGTTGTGGAGCCCCAGCTTCGAGGGGAAGCCACCAAACAACACCCGGGATTTTGAGGACGGATTTCGCAAAAACCAAAAACAACACGAAGCCGCCGAGATCGGGGCATAGGTTCGCCCAGGCACCAGGCCCGGTGTCGCCTCTGACGGAGCAAAGTGTGCAACGAATGATGGAAAGAGGGCTTTGTATATGGCCATGGGTCAAAATCTACCCCAAAATGGTACCATTGGTTTTGACCCGCAGCCATATGTGCTCTTGGCAAATTACCAAGGGACATTCACCTTTAAACTGGCCCCAAATCTGATGCTCAAAGGGGCCACACGGCCGCCCTGGCGACCAATGGAAGGGGCGAGGGGGCGAGGGAATGGGAGAAAGCTAGACAACCCTTAAGGAAAGTGAGATTCTTGGAAAGGCTTTGACCTGGCCTGGCTGATCCATGGATATGGAATCGGGAAAACCATTCTTTTTTTGCCTGGGACAGCTAGCGGACTCCACCAATGACTAAATCATGTTCCGCCCCCCCCCCCGCCCGACCAACCCCCCACCCCCCAACCAACCACCCAATCAACCAACCACCCCACCCCCCAATCCAACCCAATCGATCAGATTCTGTCCATTCCGCTAATCCTGCATGGCACGGATTTTGTCCATCCACAGGGGACCCGCCAAAAAGGCAAGGAATTCCTTTTGCTTCCCATCCAAACCAAAAGGGGGCACGCTCAAGAGTGGTGTTGAATTAGGTGTTTCTATCATCATTTGTTCAAAATCCGCCAGGAACCGGACCACTACAATCGCTGTGGCTCACACAAATTAATTACGTACCATAACCTTGGTCGATGCAGCCAAACGAACTGAGCCATTGGACTGCGAAAAGGTGAGCCCATCGCCTGAAGAGTTGCCACGTTCCGCGCCCCGCGGCAGCTGAGGAGCTCCATGCCGGGCTCGAACCTGTCGACAGATGTGTTTCTCGTGCGCGTGTCCGAACAAATTGCTGAGTCGACCACCTGCGGGTTCTCCAGATGGGCCGGTCTTTCTTTAGGAGTCGGACAATCGGACCCCCAAAATAGTGGCGCTCTTCTTTTGGCTTTCTTTGAGCATCAGAGAAAAAGGGTGCTCCCCAAAAAAGAACACACCCATATCTTTGACAAGGACGTGTTAGTTTTCGTCTTTCGAGGGTACTCTCTTTAAAGTGGCCATGTTTTGGTGGAAAATGCTCATCCGGGGGGCGATGCTAAGCTTCCGGGGGAAGCACCATCTGACTCCAGTTCGCCTGTGACAAGGTATGATGACCAAGGCACTCCCACGTGAGCTACACTGGACATTCTGGAAGAAAGGCCCATCGACTTGTTTCCTTGAAAGAAAGCATCTGACACATCGCATCTCCACGGTCTCCCTGTGCGTGTCCCTAGCATCACTCCGGGAAGCTCGACTGAACAGAGTCTAAAATCGACATGTTGAAGCAAAGGAAGCCATAGGTGATGTCTTCCAAAAAATGAAGTGCCCCTAAAGCTGGCGTTTCGTCTATGTAGCCAGAGCTCATGACCAAAAAAAGGCTATTAGGTTGTTGTTTATCTTATATTTATCGAACATGTTGCAACCTTGGAGCTACCAGCTGTAGAAAAAATAGGAGACGCCCTCAAACATGGCTCGTGGACAGACATCCCATCATGTTCAAACATCCCATCAAATAGGAGCTACCAGTATAACCTAACCTTGATGAGGGGAAGGTCCTCCCACTTCCCCAAACGAGAACCAGTATAACCTAAGCTTGATGAGGGGGCGTGGGTGTTTCTCAAGATAGGGGAGGCCCTAAAACAGGGCTCTTCCTTTTGGTGGGCCAAGGGGGGTCCACCATTCTCAGAACCTCCGATGTACAAAGGTTAAGACCTGATCTCGCCCACCACACAGGCCGCAAATCCAGGAATTTGCAAAAGCACAAAAAATACTCAAAAAAAACAATCTGAAAAACTCAATCTGAACTAGTCTGAATCTGGGAAGACTCAAAAGAAACTCAAAAAAAACTCAAAACAGACTCAAAACAAACTCAAGCAGGGGTCTGGGGAGGGTTCTGGGGGTGGGGGAGGGGCAAAATGCAAAAACCACCGCAGAAAACACAAAAAATACTCAAAAAATACTCAAAAAAAACTCAAAAACAACTCAAGCAACAACTCAAGCAAGGGTCTGGGGAGGGTTTTGGGGGTGGGGGAGGGGCAAAATGCAAAAACAACCGCAGAAAACACAAACAATACTCAAAAAAACTCAAACAAAACTCAAAAAAAACTCAAAACAGACTCAAAAACAACTCAAGCAGGGGTCTGGGGAGGGTTCTGGGGGTGGGGGAGGGGGCAAAATGCAAAAACAACCGCAGAAAACACGAAAAAAACTCAAAAAAACACTCAAACAAATCTCAAAAACAACTCAAGCAACAACTCAAGCAAGGGTCTGGGGAGGGTTCTGGGGGTGGGGGAGGGGCAAAATGCAAAAACAACCGCAGAAAACACAAACAATACTCAAACAAAAACTCAAAACAGACTCAAAAACAACTCAAGCAACAACTCAAGCAAGGGTCTGGGGAGGGTTCTGGGGGTGGGGAAGGGGCAAAATGCAAAAACAACCGCAGAAAACACCAAAAAAACTGAAAAAAACACGCACAAATACTCAAACAAAACTCAAGAACAACTCAAGCAACAACTCAAGCAAGGGTCTGGGGAGGGTTCTGGGGGAGGGGGAGGGGCAAAATGCAAAAACAAACGCAGAAAACACAAAACAACTGAAACAAAACTCAAAAAAAACTCAAAACAGACTCAAAAACAACTCAAGCAGGGGTCTGGGGAGGGTTCTGGGGGTGGGGGAGGGGCAAAATGCAAAAACAACCGCAGAAAACACAAAAAAAACTCAAAAAAACTCAAACAAAACTCAAAAAAAACTCAAAACAGACTCAAAAACAACTCAAGCAGGGGTCTGGGGAGGGTTCTGGGGGTGGGGGAGGGGCAAAGTGCAAAAACCACCGCAGAAAACACAAAAACAACTAAAAAACAACTGAAAAAATACTCAAACAAAACTCAAGAAACAACTCAAGCAAGGGTCTGAGGAGGGTTCTGGGGGTGGAAAACTCAAATATCCTGCTGCTTTTTTTTTGTGTTTTGTTTGAGTCTCCAGCTGTGTGTTTCTTGTGTTTTTTTTGAGTCTCCTGCTGTGTATTTTTGTGTTTTGTTGAGTCTCCTGCTGTGTTTTTCTTGTTTTTTTTGAGTCTCCTGCTGTGTATGTTTTTTGTGTTTTTTTTGAGTCTGTGTTTTCAGTTGAGTTTTTTGGCTGAGTGTTTTCTGAGTTTTGTTTGAGTTTTTCTTTGTTCCGCTAAAACCTCTCCTGTCTGAGCCCGTCTGGTCATAATACAAAGGGCAGTGGTTTGGGGTGGACATGCTCAACACTCAGGTGCTCGCAGCTGGGACCAATCGAGCCGGGCCTTGATTAACAAACCCCCCCACATTAGGAGGCCATGGGGCATAACCTATGGCATCATTTTGGGGTGGATGAACTTGGCTGGGGTCGACTCAGGGCTCAACAAGTTTCCCACCTGGACCCCCCCAGCTTTTTTAATTAAGTTATTACTTATTGTTTGTCCTCTAGGAGGAAAACAATAATTACATCGATTTGATATTAGAACACATAGAATGATCTATTGCCCCAGGCTTTTTTGCGGCCGTTTTCGTGTTTGCTGGGCCCTAAGCCGCCCGGCAGGAAGAAGCCGGTGCCTGCCCTCTCCAAGATAACCGAGCCTCAGTGGCACCCCGTCCGCAATCCGAGCCTGGGGCAAAACCAAATTGTTGTTGCTTGTTGATTATTATTAGTATTATTATTACTTTACAGTTGGTACCTTTTCCGGATCGCGGTTTGAAGGCGCACCAAGTGTTTCCTGTGGGTGACTGGGTTGGCCCAAAAGGGGCAACCAAAATGGGGGGGGGGATGGCTTTGTCTCACACCTGGAGTCTTGCTACGGTTGGTGTCCTTTTGGCTTCGTTAAATACCCAAAAGTCGGGGCCTTTCACCATGAGGAAGTCCAACCTTTTGGGACATGAGAGGTTGGTTTCTGCGGCTACGTGTTTACAGCAAACACGGCCCAACGCCACGAAGGAAGATGCGGGGCGATGATCATTTCCAGCTGAGAAACGGGCGATATATGCTGACTTGCAATTTGTGAAGCCTCAGTTGAGTTGATGTTGCTGTTTGTTGCGTTTGCTCCGGAAAACGGTTTGGATGCGAAGTGGTGGACTCTACCCGGTTTTCTTTTGGTACCCTTTCAGGGGTGGGGCCGCAAGAGGCGTCTCCGAAACGGTTTTTAGAAACCTAGGACAGGTTACCCATGAAAACATCTTGACACACCTGGCTTTCACAGCCAGACATGTCCAAAGGGCAAACATTGCCCTGCGCACCACCACGTGTTGCTGGTGGGTCGAACTCAAGTTTGGCGTTTCCAAAGGGCACTCCGTGGTGCAGATGTACTTCACATGAGGTGGCTTTTTTTGGAGCGACAAGGCCTGAACCGAAGATGCTCAAGATTGAGACCTATGAACAAAATAAACGCAAAACAGTACTGAGCATACAAGGGGGCCTGACTAATGAGGCCTTAATAAGGCCTCTTAGGTCCTAGAGGAAGGGAACTGAAAGGGGTTAAGGTAAGGAAGAGGGGTCGGATCCTGCGGCATTCCCAGGGGTTTGCTATCGGATGACCATGGAGCTTCATGTGAGCCCGGACTGAAATAGCTGCTGTTTCAAGAGGGCGATGCTTTCCTGATTGTATTTTGGTTTGTGCCATCTCCTTTGCTGATGACTCATTTTAAACCGTGCCTCATACGAGGTGTCACTTCCAATGAGCCGGAGGGTTGGAATGCCTGCAGATCGTTTCCTCAGGGCTCTCTTGGGTCGCTCATTGCCATGGCCCTGACGCTAGTAGAGGAAGCGTCACTGAACAACTGTGCCTCTGTCCGTGGCTCTCTTGCTTGACTTCAATGGTGGAGTCAGCTAGGTGATTGACAAACTCGGGTCACGTTCATTTCTCACTTCACCCCCCTTTGAAATCCTTAGCAACCACCTTTGGAACACTGCAGTGTGTTGAGAAAGGCAAATTCCTGTCAAACAAAATGGAAAACGCTTCACAAACGTCCACTTTTCTGGAAACAAATGCCAATGGCAGTACTCATTTGGTAGGTTTGTCCAAATACAGCTTTATTCATCTCAACTGGTGCTGCAAGGCGGATTTTGCCAACCCGCAGCAGGAA